TATCCATCTTCCGCTGTTCGTCTAACCAATTCTTGGGCATATCGCAACGATCTATACGAAGTTGTATAATCAAGATTCATATCAAACATCTTCTTCATTGAATCTTTGATGTGTTGCAGTGTAATTCCATTGATTATTCCGACTCGGTCAATAAATAACCTACCAATATATTTGGGAGTAGACTTCCTACGGTGTGATACTCGGTCCGATAATGAACATGTATGAACTTTCATATACTTTGTCACCCAAAACCGGTTTGCTTCATTCTTGACACCCGCTCTTACCTTCCACTTGCATCCTTTCACAGAACATGTAGCCACAAGAAGAGTTTTTGCTGACTTATACACCTTGAAAACAAATATTAACCTTACTGCCGTCAAACGAAATTCTTTAACCAACTCTTCTTTGGTACCAAAAACTCTGATTAACAAATATATTATCAAACCATGTCATATTTGGTATTCCTCCTCCTTGGCCACCAACGAAATCAAATGGGATATCATCTTCATCCTCATCTTTCACTTTTCCAAAATACTATAGTCTTCATCAACACCATCCATAGTATCAATACGATCGTCTCCATTTCCATCATCAACCAAATTATCACCATCATCAACATACTCATCCTCTTCTGCATCTTCATCCTTGAAGTCTTCTTCAGTTTCGCTTGTATCTTCATCTACATAGACACCATCAGCAAATCCATCGACGTTGTCATCACTGGCTTTATCGGCTTCGAAGCGACTCGAGACACAAATGCGTATAACATTCGATTTACCTAGCTCGATCAAATTCCAGACTTGTCTATCATTTGTGACATGTATAGGAGGTGTATCCGGATACATCTGTTGCAACATCGATGCCGGTAGTGAATAAGTGATGTCTACCAACTCTGATTTGGTGTCTAACTTATAATCATCTTCAACCATTTGTACAAGTTCACGATGTGTACAACCATCATGCAAGAAAAGCATTCTCCCTCCTCGCTGATTATCAACCGCAAATTGCCATGACGTATCTTCTTTAACCCAATCTCCATAAACAACCAGAAACTGAACCATTATCTATGGAAGAAAGCAAATAAAAAATACATTAGCTATCGTAAATGCATACTACTAAAGAATCTACACATATGAGCTATATACCAATCAAACAAGAAAATTAATTTATCAA